GGCCTCCCTCCCCCAGTGCTCCCTGCCTGCCTGCCGTTGTTCGGGGCTGACACCAGCTCTCCCAACCTCCCTGGTTTGCCCTGGTCCCATTGCCAGGGTGGGTGCTGGTGGGGATGCGGATCCCACACCCTGCCCTGTCTGGGCACACCGGATCCACTCTCGCCCGCCCCCCAGCTCACCTGGCCGGAGCCCTGGAACCACCAGCATGGCAGTGAGCTGGGCCCACGTCAGGCTCTGGGGTTGGGACTGGTCCTGGGAGCGCTGCACAGTCCCACCAGTGTCTCCTCCACCCAGAGGACTCGCTGTTGGGCAGCTGGGGCTGACAGTATGCCGTCTCCGCCAGTGTGGCTGCCACTGTCCCCACTGAGCAGCCTGGGGAAACCGAGGCACACGATGGCTGGAGGGGCACCAGGGGGAGGAGGCCCTAGGAGGGTGAGGTGGGCTGCAGGGTCCCCTGCACTGCACCATGAGGGGGGCAGGCGGCCAGGCCCCCCCCCGAGGCAGCTGACAGCAGCGAGAGCCGGAGGTGCAGGAGCAGGAAGGTCAGGGAGAGCGGCTGGGCCCCGTGCCGGGGGATTAGCACTGTCCTTGCTGTGTCACGCAGCCCCCGGGCCCATCTCCGGCCTAATCCCCTCGCCCTGGGCAGCTGGCCGGCACCAGGCAGGGGCAGCCAGCCCCCCCCCCCGGCCCCCCCCGGCCCGGGGGGGCAGAGCTGCCCCTTCGGCTCCACCACACCTCTTGGGGGACTCCGTCCCTCAGCAGGGCACCCAGCCTGGCTAGGCCCTGCTACAAAATGGGAAAGAAGGGGTCATGGTGCCCCCGCTACGGGCAGGGCTAGGAGCCAGCAGGGAAACTGAGGCACCGGGGTCGGCAGCTTGCAGTGCCACACTAGAGCCATGCCATGGCTGTGGTGGTGCAGGCAGGGGCTCTGCGCACCAGGGCGCAGCGGGCAGAGGTGCCCGCTGGTGGCACTGAGGCACAAGGTGCCTGAAACCCTCAATTTGCTGAGTCCCATGGGATTCTGGGGTGGGCAGCACGTGCCTGTGGGGCAGCCCGGCCCCTGTGGCTGATCCTAGCCCACCACGTGCCAGGGTGGCAGTGCCAGCACAGCCAGGGTGCCCGCTGCGCCCTGCCACTTCACCCCTGCCACTCTCCTTTCCCCGCAGGGTGCCGGCCCCGCAGGCAGCCGGTGACGCAGAATGGTGCTGGCGCTGGCGCTCTGGGCCTGCCTGGCGCTGGGTACAGTCAGTGGGGAAAGCCCAGCACCGGAGCCCCTGGCGGGTGGCCAGCCCTTCACTGTGGTGTGGAACATCCCCACCGGCCGCTGCCAGCGCTGCTTCGGCGTGGGGCTGCCCCTCAGTGACTACGGCATCGTGGAGAACCAGGACGGCCGCTTCGCCGGCCAGAACATCACCATCTTCTACAAGAACAAGTTTGGGCTGTACCCCTACCTGTCGCAGCAGGGCATCCCCCGCAACGGGGGCATCCCCCAGCGGGTCCCACTCAGCGCCCACCTCGCCAGGGTGGCCGGGGACATCCGCCTCCTCCTGCAACATGCTTTCCGTGGCCTGGCTGTGGTGGACTGGGAGGAGTGGAGGCCCCTCTGGGCCCAGAACTGGGGGGCCAAGCGGATCTACCGGGTGGCCTCGGAGCAGTGGGTACGGGACCGGCACGGCCTCCTGCCGGCACGGCGGCGGCTCCGGCTGGCCCGGCGGGAGTTTGAGCAGGCGGCGCAGACTCTGATGGAGGAGACCCTGCTGCTGGGACGGACCCTGCGCCCGAGGGGGCTCTGGGGTTTCTACCGCTTCCCCGACTGCCTCAACGGCAACTGGGCCAAGGAGGCCAACTACACCGGGCAGTGCCGGCCGGCGGAGGTGCAGCGCAACAACCGTCTGGGCTGGCTCTGGGCCGCCTCGGCAGCCCTCTACCCCAGCATCTACCTGCCGCCGGCGCTGCCGCCCGCCCTGCGCCGCCGCTACGTGCACCACCGGCTGCGCGAGGCCCTGCGCGTGGCCGCCTTCGGGGCCGACGGCCTCCTGCCCGTGGTTGCCTACTCCCGCCTCTCCTTCCGCCGCTCACACAGATTCCTGGAGCTGGTAAGCACCGCGGGGCCAGGGCTGGCAGCGGGTGTGCTGGGGGTCCTGCTTGGCACTGGGACGCGGCCTGTGCCCCCTAGCCCGGTCATGTCTCTCTCTCTCTCCCTGGCAGGCTGACCTGGTGCACACCATCGGCGAGAGCGCGGCGCTGGGTGCGGCCGGACTCGTGCTCTGGGGAGACCTGTCGTACTCCCGCTCGGCTGTGAGTACGGCCCCTTGCTGCACTGCAGCTGGCACGCGGCGGGCAGCAGGAGGTGGCGTGGGCATGGGACGTACAGGACGGCCACGTCTCCTGTGCCCCCCGGGGAGGGGTGGCCGGAGGGACCCCAGTGCCAAGGCAGGTTCTCACTGGTGCTTCCCCCCGCAGGAGAGCTGTGCCAGCCTGCGCCACTACCTCACATCCACCCTGGGTCCCTACGTGGCCAACGTGATGGCAGCAGCCCGGGAGTGCAGCCACGGGCAGTGCCACGGGCATGGGCGCTGCGTGCGCCGGCAGCCCCATGACCTGGGCAGCCTCCTGCACCTTGGCCCCAGCGCCAGCCCACCGGCCTCTTTCCGCTGCCACTGCTACCGCGGCTGGACCGGCGAGGGCTGTGCCCAGCGGGTCCAGACTGGCCCTGCTGCCTCCTGCTTGGCACCCACCCACGCTCATGGCCTCTACGGGCAGAATGATCTCCCACCCTCCGACACCTGCCTGCCACGGGGCACGTGGGGCTGGTGACCAGGGCCAGGGACCGCCATGGTCCCCTACCCTAGCAGTGCTGCTGCCTGGTGTTTCCTATGGTCTCATTAACTTAAATAAATCCTCCTGACACAGCTGGCATGGTCCTTGTGGGCAAAACTGGGGGGGCTCCCGGTGCCCTCAGGCTGGGCACAATTGCTGTTGCTGCTGAGAGGCAGCAGAGACCGCAGTTTGGCTCTGGATGGGCCCACTGGTGTCTCAGTTTCCCTGCACAGGCTCTGCCCTGATGCCACGGGGAGCTGGCAGCCCCTTTTTCCGTGAAGGAGGGGCATGGGGCACTGCCACATTCTGCTATCCCTTTGCCACACTAGCACCATGCTGCCGGCAGCCCTGACTGCACCGCTGGGCCCCCCTCCCCACGGCTATTTTTATCCACCCCCCAACCGTGTTTCTCACTGTCCTATTTTAAGCGGCGCAGTTGGCGCACTGGGAACCCAGTGCCCGGCTCCCAGGGGCCCCACACTGCCTCGCTGCCCACTCACGCTGCCCAGGCACAGGGAGCCATGCCCAGGGAGGCTGGAGAAGGTACGCTGGGGAGCGGGCTGGGGGCTGGCGGGGGCCTTGGCACCCTGGGGGGGACTGGGTGGCACGAGGCCATGGGGTTGGGATGGAAGCAGCGGCCAAATGCTGCACTCTGCTGCAGGGGCTGCAGGCAGAGATGCCTGCCTGGGGAAGAAGGGGGTCCTGGAGGGCTGCAGGCACAGGGCAGCAGGGTTTGGGGAGGGGGGCAGGTACCTGGCTGGCACAGCCCCCTGCACCAAACCTACAGGACCAGCCATGACCCCAGGCAGGGGGGAGCGGATGCAGGGGAGATGGGGGTACCCATGGGCCAGCCCCCAGCCACAGGCAGAGACCTGAGGAGGGTCCGGCAGGACCCTGGGCACCAGCTGAGGCCCCCCAGCCCTGACGCCTGCCAACCCGGCTGGCGGCGCACACCACCCCGCCGGCAGCGGCACGGCGCCACGCTGCCCTGCGACATGCCACTGACCCCGGGAGGGATTGGGAATGGGCACAGTGCCACCCTGCCCTGCTCTGCTGTGGGCACAGCGCCTGGGCCCTGCCCGCTGCTCAAAAACGCACAAACACCTCCAAAAAAAGCCTTTTCTTCTACCCCAGTGCAGGTATGGTTGCTTCCCTAGATGGTGCTGGAGCCATGCCTACTTCCAAAAAGCCCCCTTGCTCCCATGGGGAATGTGCCCACCTGGATGGTGGGCACCAGGATCCCCTGGCATGGCATGCACCCCACATCTCCATCCGTGCACCCCTAAGCAGCGCATGAGCACGGTGCCCACAGGGCAAGCCAAACCATGCCGCAGGCTGGAGCTGGCGCTGTCCTGCCCCTGCCCCGTCAGCTCCCAGCTGGCCTGGGGGAGCCCTAGCCAGCCCCGAGGTGCCGTGGCTACCTGGGGCCCAGGGGGGTGGCACATTCCTGCCCCCAAGCCAGGGCTGGATTCCAGCCCCACTAACAAGGCTCTGGGATCGTGGCCACCAGGCAACCACTAACCGCTCCGATGACAGCACGGGGGCCAGGGGGGGCACAGCCAGCGCTCGCCTGCCCGCGGCCACAGGCCCGTGCCGAGGGAACACTGGCGTTGGCTGCCTGCCCTGGCACAGCACCGAGCTGGCATCAAAGCTGGGGTCACCTCCGGGAGGGGTCTGGTCCCCATAGGGGTGCCCAGGGCAGGCAGGGGCTGCCAGCAGGGCCCATGCTCACCCTCTGCCTCCGCTCCCAGCAGACGGCATGGGAAGGGCCGAGGGTGCCGCGCCGGCAGAGCCTGGGGACCCCGATGGCAGCGAGACGGGAGCCATCAGCCTGCGCCCCGTGGAGTCCATCAGCGACCTGCACTGGGCCTCGGGCGGGCAGAAGGGTGCCGAGGGTGAGAGTGGGGCGAGGAGGGGCCATGCCAGCCCTGGCCGTGCCAGCGGCTGGGCTCTGACCTCTTCTCTCCCCTGCCCGCAGGTAACGGCCCGGCTCCCTCCAGCAGCCTGCGCAGGCCCCCGCCTCGCCCCGTGCCCCCC